TATTATTTTATTTCATATTTATTCTATTATAGGTTCCAAAAGAAAGTTTCTCATTAATGAAACTATTTAATTTTCTTTGGTTTATCGTACTTGTTGATTGGTTTATTTTCCTTATTGGATCGGTTATTCTTGCTACTGATGGTGCTTGGATCCTTTTATACTTTAGTATGTTTTTTTTTTATTTAACTATACTTAGTTAATTAATTAATTAATTAATTAACTGATATCAATTAATTTCATAACTAATTATTTTTATTTTTTATTTATTTATCTTTGATAATTATAGCGGTTCCGTATTGTTATGTGGGAATTGTAAGCAAATATTTTTATTTTTGAATTTTCTCTTTAATATCTTTTTTTTTTTTTTTTTTTTATTAATTGATTTTTTTCTTTTTTTTATTAGATAACATTTATATACGCGTGGAAAACAACTGATACTTTTAATCAAGGATTACGTGAATATGGTAATTAAAATTTTCTCTAATTGTTTTTTCCTCATCATTTCATATATATATATATATATATATATATATATATACGAAAAAAAATTTTTTTTATTAACAATTTAAAAATATTTAAATTCATAGTTGGTCTACGACTTAACAGAAACCATGAATTAATTATAAAAATTGAAGATGTAGAAGATTATCGACCTCGTAGAGTTTCTAATAAAATAGTTGATAATTATCAAACTGATGAAATTAAAAAACCCGATGACGTTCTTATCTTTAAAAAACCTGATGATGCTCTTTTTTAAAAAAAAAAAAAAAAATTATTCGTTTTACTTTTAAAATGGTTCTTTTTTTATTTATGTTAATCATTAATTAATTTACTGTTTTGTACAGTATTATAATTGTCACATACTTTTTTTTTATTCTTAATAATTATATATAATAAAAAATATCCTGTGCCGTTGGGTATTAGCGGAACCGAAAGTTTCCGCTTGTACACATACAAATCCGGCTATTTTACTAAATATCTCGTGATTTTATAAGTTCTGAAGTTAGTGATCGGCGTATTTTTATACGAAATTCAGTAATTTTATTGTTGTTACGTACGTACGTACGTGTCGGTTTATCTTCTTAAAAACAAAAAATAATAAAACCCGAATTTGGTTTTATCATACTGTACGTACGTATTACAGAATAAAATCATTAATAAAAAAGTAACATTAACATTTAACGTCAATTACAATAACTAAGATGCTATAAAATAATTTTATTAAAATAATTTTGAAAAAAGTCTACATAATACTCTATATATAATATATATTATTGATTGAATTTATAACGTAATTTTGTAAGAGAAAAAATAGTTATACATCCTATTACTATAAAAGCACCAAATCCTTTCCAAATAGTAAAACATTGACCATTATCAATTTTACAAAAAAATATATGACTAAAACCAAATACCATAATAGCTCTAACAGAATTTAATAATCCTATAGTAACATTACCAAGATATTTTACTATCCAATAAGCTGAAAAATTATGAAAAAATGATGCAAAAATTAAAATTAAATATGATATAATAATTATAAATGTACTAGCATGTTCTGTTTTCTTTTCCATCTCTTCTATTACAAGTACTTTCCAATTTGGAATTGTATAAATTATAATATATATCATAGCTAAACTTGAGTTAATAGTTCCTATTAAAAAGCATGCTTTTTCTGGTGATGGTGGAAGTTCATTAGGTACTATAATTGTCGTCAATAATTGATCAAGTATGACGTAAACACATGCACTTCCAAATGTCGCGAGTGATGTTAATATTAAACCAAGCATTTTAGGTGATATATTAAGTGAATTAAGTATTGTAGGAACGGTGGTAGTTATAGAATTTTGTGAAACTCCGAATGAACTAAGAAAGAGTCCGATACATACTCCAATAACGCAAAGTGATTGTACTCGAGAAAATTTTCTTCCAAGAAA